CATTCCTGCATTGAAGGCACTATCTCATACTGAATAGTTAAGCTACATGTGCAGACAGAAACCAGCTACTTATCATCATTATTAAAACATGTTAATCTCAAGCAGAAGCAGAACTAATTTTTCCATGGCAAGTAACCCCCATGACCTTTAAGTCGCTCATTACAGAATTAAATAGTCATTAGTTAGGTATCTTAAGAATCTTTTATAAGGCCTCATTATTCTTCGAAACATGTATTCCTATGTGGTTAGTTTTCCCAAGCCCATTTACGATTAAATATTAGCGGACAGGGCCCGATACACACATAGAAACATCTCAATCTGAATTACAGTGAGACCTACTGAACACTCACACCACGTGAGCCAAGGGCAATTTGCTCAAAGTCCTGCGATATGCTCAGATAGGATTCTGAAGAACACTTCCTTTTAAAAACAAGAATTAGTACATTTAAAAAGACTTCAGTTGCCATGATAACAATCCAAACGTGAACAGAAAGTGAGAATTCTGAAGGCCATAATAATACTTAACTGCTATCAGCAGATACGTCATTTCTAATCACTCTGGAGAAAGAGAGTGATATCTAAAGTAAGCAGAGACTCATTGTTGCTGCAGAAAAGAAATGGAGATAAAGGAACAGAGCCAAACCAAGCCTGGAATTAAGGACGGAAACACACAGCAAAAGCATATTTATAAAAGCCATCCATTTTTGCCACCACCACAACTTTGGCACCTCAGAGTTTTACACGTACTTTTGAGACAGCAGTTTCAGCTTAAGATCGGGATCTAAAACTACCTACACTCCACAGGTGCCCATTTCTGCCTGTGGAGAGTGGCTCTTACCTATAAAGCACCTCTATAGTCTGAACAAGTCACATTAACTCAAAATAGGAGAGCTAAATGAGAGGCGATGGGATTCATCTCACTCAAGTAACCTTGAACACAAAGTACTGAATAAACTGTCTGAACTACCCGTAAGAAAAGACTTCGCCACTGCATAAAGCCTGCCCATTTCCCAGAGCAAACTTCAGTAGAGAGCAGTCTGAAGAAAGTTTGGAGACAGACAGACTAACATTCCACATTCCCCTTCAAGACATGCACTGTGACCTAAGGATCCAGATAATAAATGGAAATGCTGTTCTTCCATACAGTGATCTCTACAGATCATAAATGTCAAATCCAGCAGCAAAAAAAAAAAAAAAAAAAAAAAAGAAAAAAAAACAGCTCTTACTCCCTCAAAAGTTTTCCCTCCTGCAAGCAAAAACACTTTTACAAAAAACTATTTGGCAAGAGACCCAGAAATCCTCAGGATAAAGCTATCCTGCATGTGCTTCACTGTTTTCTTACCTGTCTTTGACATAATCCATCCAGTGCTCCATTTCAGATTCCGAACTGGTCTTCTTTATCTGTCAAGAACAAAAACAAAAATCACCCCCACACATCTTGCACTGTCTTAACATACATTTCAAATTAAATTTTTTTTAAACAAAATTTAAGCCTGATTAAAAAAAAACACACATACCACAGACAGAAATGGTCTTTTGTCTAAACTGAGTTTTCAAACTACTAAAAATTATCAAAACTAACAGTTTCAATACTTCTCCTTCCTCCAAGCACTGCCAAACCATTCATAATCAAATTGTTAGATTTTAATAGTGCCACATTCTCAGACCAAAATTGAAGCAGCCAGCATAAAAAAACACTACCAGATGGTATTTAATCATTGTGCCAGTTATGCCCCAGTGGGGATAACTGATGCAGCAGTGCAACCCACAACAGCCTGTACGGCAAACTTACACAGTACAACTGCCACCGAGAGGGTAGCACATAGTTCTGCTACAACTATCTTCTAAGACCCACCGCAAGCCTAAGCTCTCTCAGAGCTACAAAAGGTTTACAGTAGAATTGTTCATGTGTGCAATGACTGGTAAAGAAAAGCATTGTAACTGTTTACTCACTAAACGGATTAACTCCTTCGCAAGCTGGGCAATGGACATCTCGAAGTTGGTTCCAATGTTATAAATTTCACCTGGCTTCCCCTCCTTCAGGACAGTAAGGAATGCTTCTACCACATCAGCTGCGTAAAGGAAGTTCCTTCTCTGAAGTCCAGAACCATGAATACAGCTTAAAATCAGAAAAAGGCAAGAAATTTTGTTAATCCTTAAACAGAAGCATTCAATTTATTAGACTGCGTTTTAAGCAGTTTTACTGTTAGCCATTGCCCGAAGGTACCTTAAGTAGCTAACATGCAGACAATCCTTTAGTTTAAGAAAATCCTATTATTAAAATAAGCAATTCATAACTTAGTTATTAAACTATCATTTTACAAACTATACCACATATTTATAACTGTAATTACAGTTCTATAGCACAAATACCACAAACAAAAAAGTCAAATTACATACCATTTCCTGTTCTGGTGCAACAAAGATATAAACTTTGGAATAACCTAGGGAATTAAACAAAAAAATAAAAAGAATTACTCCACTATTTTAGAAGCTGTTACTCTGCAAAGAACATAGGGCTTCACCAGTAAGTATCATTAAGCATTTTAATAAGACACTTTAAATACTTTCAAGTCTTCTTAAGTCTAATCACATAATGCATCAAACCTAGAAATTGCAAGGATTTTGTGGGGTTTTTTAAGAGTAGATGCCTCTACTGAGCTGCAAAGCTTATCTTTCTGGTCAACCATTACAAATCAGTAGCTACAAATGTAACATTTTTACAAAAGAAAATGGTTCTACCAGCAACTATTGCAAACAGTTCAGAACATGGTTTAAACATCCGGCAAGCTGCAGTAAATCTACAGTCAAAAAGCAGGAGTTAATAAAAATAGTAAAATTTGGAAGAGAACCAATAGATTTTCAAGGCAAGTCAACATGGATCAAATGATAGCCACTAGCTTGCACCATAAAGATTTACAATATTATGTTCAGCTACAAGCTTAGATCCCTTCATAATGTCCCAGAAACTTCAGAAGAGTTGGCCCCACTATCAAAGTTTTTAAACTGAAGCCATTAGGAAGCTATTTCAATTTGTTTGATTTTGTTAACTTAGTACTCTAAACATAGCAGCAGACATACTAGGCAAAACTAAAGACCCATCTAGCCTAGTATTATGTTCTCAGCAGTAACTAAAGTGGATACTTGAGGAAGAAAATATATATATATAAGCTGAAAGCAAGTAAATAGTGATGCATCCCCTGAAGATACTCCCAACATCATGCAACCTCTAGCCAGACATTTCCCAAGCCACAGTTCAGTGAAAAAACTATTTTAAAAATCATTGCTTATCCACCTGCAATAATGTAGGGAAGGGAAAAATACTTTTATCTGAAAGAAAAAAAAAACCAAAAAAACAAAAACACATACAAAGCAATTCAAATTAAAAAATACCTCTCTAGAGCTGCAAAAATACAGCTACATTTCACACACAAGCTCTAAAATCCAAAGAATAAGTATGATTACCACTATCATTCTGCCTGTGTATTTCCATTCACTAGGGTAGCAGATCTTGGTATTGCCTACAACTCCCTCTCACTAATAACCGTTTTAAATAGCTACCCTGCCAGGTACATATGGACACACACAAAGATTAAGTCACTCTGTGCTACTTCTCACCAGATATCAGATTGCTATAGCTTCATCTTACCTATTTTCTGTACAGGTTGGAACATCTCTTTCTAAACCAGCCATACTGCTCTCTCAGTTTACTTTTTGAAATGTTTACCTTAGTTATTAAACATTCCTAATTACAGCATGACATGCAAGTTAATGTAATTTGTAGGGGAACCCTACCAGACATAAAGCAGTTAAACATCCTTTAAAAACTAGAAAAATTACAAAACAAAGCCATTGTAGTAAAATTCATGTAAATAACTAGAAATCTCTAATCGATGCTTTACTGAGAACCAAAAACCATTTGTTCATTGTACTGATGGTAAGACATGTTAGCATGAGATCAAAATATATAATCACAGGTAAGTGTGGAGAAATATACTTGCAAGAGAATGTCTTTTGAAAAAGTCAGTCCACTCTTCTGAGAAAAAAAAAGTAACATCACTACAACCCTAAATAATGGTATACTGAAGCTCAGAGTAAAGCATAAGTTTAACTTACTTTTTCTGGATACTGGTGTGGTCCATAAACATTACTGCTCCGTGTGATAACAACGGGGAACTTAAGAGAATTAAACACGAATATGATTACCTAAACAAGTATATACCAGTAAAAACCTGTGGGCTTCTTGCCGATCGATAAATAAACTGACACACCTACAGCGCTTATTCAAAGATCTGCAAGCCCTTACAAACACACATGAATTAGGCTATCCATAGGTCCGTCAAACAGGCAAGGGCCTCCAGCCTGCTCAGTCTGTTAGAAGCACCACAAGTGAAATGTTTGTAACCTCTTAAGCTTGCTATGGAACCACCACAGGACATTACACACATCCATCTGGTTGACTGAAGACTGGCTTACTACTACTTATTCCAAGACAATGTTTCACAGTCACTAACATCGCGTTCAAGTCAGCTTTATGTCAAAAACAACATTACAGAAGGAGATACCAAGAACAAAAGACTAAAGTATTCAAAATTTTAAACACTTTTTGCATAAACAAATCTGAGTAACAGGGTTTTTTCCTTTTCTTTTTTTGCTTTCGCTATAAGCCTAGTCTTAATACAATTTGAATTTTGCTTATTCTACTTCCATATAAACCAATTTCCTTCAAGCTTAACAGCTTTTTAAATTGCTAATGTTCTCTGACCATTTTATGAAAGAACATTTTTAGACACTGCAGTTCAGATTTTCAAAAAAAATTAAAAACTTTCGACCTCTCTCCACTGTATCTCCACCAATAAGTGGTGGACATCCTCCGACACATCCAAACTACAAGATTATCTATCAGGAAAGAGGTGGCGCTGTGTAGATGAGTACTGATTTTTCTTCTATAATCTTATATACTTAATATAGACACTTAAGTATGGGCTTCAGAGTTTTTGAAGCTTGCACCAACTTACTTGGTACCTTTCCCAGTAAGACTGAACGAAACACTCTGCAGCTGCTTTAGAGGAGGCATAGGGATTTGTTGGACGTTTTGGTGAGGATTCATCAAATTCCTAAAATGAGAAGAGAAATTTGCATTACTCAATTTCTTTTGCCCAGATAAGTCTTAAAGTTACAAAAGCTGCAGTTGCAACTGAAATAAAAATCTCTAAATATCCAAGCACACCAGTCTGAGAAAGTCACCCTTCCACATACAGCAAAAGACCAGTAACAAAAAACAGTCCATTTATCAAACACAGAAGGCAGCTACAATTCCAGCAGTAGTGTTTTTATATTTCTAGCAGAATAACACACAGTAGCAGGTCCTTAGATTTTTATCTTGTAAAATAATCACTGTTGCCACAGGGAGGTTCAGACTCATACTGCCTCAGAGTACCATTGCACCACAGCTAGAAGATTAACCTTTCAGTCCTAAATAAAAGGGGTCCATTCTCCCTTTTCTATGAACTTCATTTCTATAAGAATAGTAGAATTTCAACCCAAAGCCCTCCAAAGCAAGGCTTCAACAATTCTGACCTGTTCCACAACAGGCAGCCTCATGGCTGTCCTGCCACTTTTCTCCTTTGGTGGGTGGGGAGGAAGATATAATAATGAACCAAAGAAAGGAGAGACTCTGTGCTGCCCGAGGTGCAATTCATAGCAATCACCTTAACACGTGATTAAAAGACTCATTGTTCTTGTCTGACTTCTGCCTCTGAAATTAATTGATCCTGACTTACTTTTCGACCTTCCTTCCGCCCCAAAAAAACTCTCTTCAAGAACTTCTGCTATGAACCAGATTAAATCAATGTGCTCTTTTCAAGGCCCAGAAGCAGAAAAAGTTCACTTGAAGTTGTCTCAGCCAAACCACTGGTCTACATGCAGGAAAACGCCACCCTTGAGTATCATAAAAATCTACAGATTGAAGTTGTGTTGAAGGAATTGATAAAGACATTGCAACAATAAGAAAGTGCACATGACTTTTCTGAAATACATCAGTATTTTCACGGATTATGGCACAAGACTCCTTGGTCATTATTATGCCATAGAAAGACAAGCACGCATAATTTGTCTTTTTACTGAGCTAAACTACACTTCCTGAACTAAGGTCAGGCATAAACTGGCAAGAAGCAAAAAGACTTCCATAGAACAACAAGAAACATCTGTATATTTCTTCCTGGAATACAGGAACTGTTTCCTGTTTGAATTGCCAGTACCTACAGTTCTGTTAGCATTTTAGCGGGAGTACAATACAGTTCCCTGACTGCCAAGTTCATAGTCAAGGCAGAGCAGGCAAAAATAAAAATAAAATTTAAAAAAAAAAATTAAAATAACAACATACTGTGTGCATTACTGAAGTCTCATGAATGCTCCAAGGCAAAAGTTGTATAATACACTCCTTTGATACTGTCTCTGAGAGAGTATTCACATGCCATTAACAACCTCAATCTCACGCCTTTAGGTAGTACGCATTCAATACAAAACATGCTACAAAAAAAATTCAGGACAATTTTGATACTTAGCTTTGTAGAAACAACCGGTGCTTGTTTACAAGTTCCTGTATTGTCAGAAACAGCTCAGAAGTCATACATTTATAGAGGCCAAAAAGTTAGACTAATTTTGTTTTCACTATTCAAAGCAAGCAAAGCTAGAAAAACTTTTATGCACCTTCTAACTCACCTCATCGGTGCTACCTCCATACACTTCATCTGTACTGACGTAGACAAACTTCTCCACATTGGCTTCATGCGCAGCAGCAACCAGTACATTAGTGCCGTAAACATTCACGTAAGTGAATTCCAGGGCATGCCAAAATGAAAGATCTACATAAAAAAATCCAGACAATTCTGATTAAACTTAGGCAAGACGTGGCTTCCTATTGAACCATAATATTAGAGGTTGCAATACAGCCTGGGACTTTAGCTCTTTGATTGTCAGATAGCAAGGTCATTATTAAACAAAGAGACTTTCTACACTTACTTGAAGGCACAATCCTTGTTCTCAATGAAAGACTGGAATCAGGAGCAAAAGCTTGCTAGCTATGGACCATTCCAAGTGAAACAGCATTGTCTAACCTTAAGTGGCAGCATAACTACTTCCCCTTTTCACTAGGAAGGGCCAAGCTCAGTAAGAAAAGTACCATTCAAAGACAATTGTAAGATGCAGTAATATATACCTATTACTGTTAATTAACTAGCACCTGTTTTAATTCTTGGAATTGTCACACTGACTTCATGACTTTGTGCACATCAAATGTGACAATTCTGAGAAGTATTTTCCAAGAGAATTCTTCAGGGATTTCTTCTCATGATGAAAGCAGTATGGTAGGGATAGCTCTCATTAACAGTGTTACTGAAGAGTGGTGATCAGAAATAGGCACTTTTAAGCGTAATTCATTCTCTCTTTTTAGAATCCAGGCAGAATTCTGAAGGGAGTTATGCCTAATCCTTCAGCTTACACACTGTGCTTTTTCCTGCAAGGCTGGAGCCAATCACATAAAAACTTAAGACTGTGTACAAACTCTTTTTCCACTGTCTTCATGACTCCACCAGTACAATGTCAGTTACATGTGTGTCTAGTTGGAATTTAAAAATGTAATGGAATAGAAAAAAGGGCATTACCATTCACACGCAATGAAAACAGACAACAGTCAGGTGAAGTACTTTTTAAATTAAGGCTGTGAACCCCTTTAAGTTAAAAAGGCCACCAGACATTGAACCGCATCGTTTGTAGAGACAAACTGTACCCTTGTTCCATACTAAGAGAAAAAACAAAAAACATGAGCATATATTTCAAACAACTCATGGAAAATAACATCAAAACATGCAACAATGCTCACCTACATGTGTTTGGGCTGCAAAATGAAGGACTATGTCTATTTTCTCAGTTTCAAAGAGCCGTTTTATAAAATCAGGTTCACAAATATCTCCCTAAACAGGAAAAAAAAAAATCATTAACTTTTTTTTTTTTGATACAAAATACTAAGCTTTCATTCGTTCCAAGCGCCACAGAACAAACCATTACAAAGGAAGCAGAAGGTACAAACAGCACTACCAACTGAGTTTGGGGCAATTTATCAATGCCTTATCTAAAATAAGACCAGATATAAATTTCCCACATTTTGAGCAACAGCCTCAACGAAACTTATTTCAGGATTTGTATTACTATTTAACATTAGAAACGGCATCACCCCCAAAATATAGACAACCGAAGTACAGCGTGGTGCAGCTTGAATGCTGAGGTTGAACGGACAGTGACACCTGGTGGCACTACAACAGGTGACGTGGATTTCCAACTCTGTCAAAATAGATGGTTGGATGTCTTGCAAGGATTTGGGGTTTGTGGTTCGTTCCGATAACTTTTTAACTGATCTACTTAGAAAATAGTCGGGCATCCAAGCCATTATTTAGCTTGACACAGAAGCAACAGCAGCTTGTAAAGGTAAATACAAGCTGAGAAAAAGCGTATAATATTTATCCGTTGGCTCAACTTCAACAAAATAGTTCCTGAGAAGACAGAGTGTTTTGCAGAGGGAGACTTTCGTATTTTCAATAACGAGGCAATTCACTAAAAACAGGTCAACTGCACCTATGCTTTAAGAAGTTCTCAAGCAACAATTCTGAACAACAGCATCAAAGAAGTACTGTATGTCAGAAATGGGAGGAAGATGAACCGACTTTCCTGTTTCTCATCCCTGAACAGAACTGAAACACTCCAGTAAATACTTCAGGCTCACACACTATTTTGAACTAAATGGTTACACTTACTTTTTTTTTTAAAATGAAATTCAGATTCAATAAATCAGTGCTGAGCAACAACAGAAACAGTGATAAAACTGTATCTTTCACACAGCCCCTTAAACAAATTTTCTCAACTTTTACTCCTCTACTCTCCAAAACAGGCTTCTTTTCTACAGCATTTATCCTTCCAGCTCTCTCCTAACCCAGTAACAGTGCTACAGTTCTAATCATAAGGCTTGTCCATCAGAGGTTATTTTTTCCAGTGCATTTTTTCCTATCAGTGTAAACTGCTTGGCTGCATACCAGCTGCATATTAAGCTCTGCTCAACCTTCCTTTAAAAAAAACAACAAACCAACCAAACCCAGAAAAGTTGGAACTAATTATGCTGGTGTAAGTTTTGTGAGCAAACATTACTGCTGTAGTTCGGAAGCAGTACAGCTACATCATTCCTTGTTACTATATCCCTGCTTCACGTAGCGATCTGGCTGTTTACAGGATGCCTTCTGGAACTCTGTGCTATCCCCGGGAATTAAATCATAGAATCACAGGTTGAAAAAGACCTCTAAGATCATCAAGTGCAACCAACCACCCAACACCACCATGCCTACTAAACCACATCCTGAAGTGCCACATCTATACATTTTTTAAACCCCTCCAGGGATGGGGTCCACCGTCCTGGGCAGCCTGTTCCAATGCTGTCCAACCACTCTTTCAGTAAAGAAAATTTTCCTAACATCCAATCTAAACCTCCCCTGACTTGAGGCCATGGCCTCTCATCCTATTGCTAGTTACCTGAGAGAAGAGACCAACACCCACCTCACTACAACCTCCTTTCAGGTAGCAGAGTTGTAGAGAGCAATAAGGTCCCCTCTCAGCCTCCTCCAGACTAAACAGCCCCAGCTCCCTCAGCCGCTCCTCATAAGACTTCTCCTCTAGACTCCTCACCAGCTTCATTGCCCTTCTCTGGGCACGCTCCAGCCCCTCAATGTCCTTCTTGTAGTGAGGGGCCCAAAACTGAACACAGTACTCCAGGTGTGGCCTCACCAGTGCCGAGTACAGGGGCACGATCACCTCCCTACTCCTGCTGGCCACACTATTCCTGACACAAGCCAGGATGTTGTGGGCCTTCTTGGCCACTTGGGCACACTGCTGGCTCATGTTCAGCAGCTGTCAACCAATACCCCAAGGGCCTTTTCCACTGGGCAGCTTTCCAGCCATCCCTCCCCAAGCCTGTAGCGTTGCATGGGGTTGTTATGTTACCTTAATATACATACAGGCAACGAGGCCCTTCTACAGCATTCATGCATTTTTATTCACATACTGGAAACAGTCAAAAAAATTAGGAACAATAATCAAAAAATAACCAAAAACCCAATTTGGGCATGCTGAAACTGCATACATTTGCTTAGGAGACATCCTCTTTTCCCTTATGCAACCTTTATCCCAACAGCTTGGAGATAAACACTTACTGAAATAAACAGGTAGGTTCACAGAAAGGTAAACAGCCACGGGAGTCACCAAACAGGTGAGGACAAGTTCAACTCCCAACCTCGCCCGAATCTAAGAGGTAAGTTTAACTTCCATCTACTACCTATTTCAGAAAATAAAACTCTATGTATTTCTCTGATATCCTGCAACCTCAGGCATCACAGCTATACAGAGACCAGCGTCAGTATTGACTTCCACAGAGGGGAAGAACCTCAGCATACAAACCCAGCAGTCAGAACATTTATCCGAACAATAAATCGAAATCCATTGCCTGTCTGAAGATAAAACTGTGGAAGCAGTAAACTAATTTAATTGGCAAAAGCTTAGTAAGAAAAAGGGATACCTTGAATGTTCCCATGAGACCCTGTTCCAAAACAACTATGAACTACACAGCATCAACTGGAGCAAAAGCAAGAGCACAGCCTGATGTCCAGTACTAACAGAACAAGAAAGGCTGCACTGCACACCACGGAATATGACAAGCGGCGGTGTTTGATGGTGCAAAACCTAAGAATTTAGATTAAGCTATTAAATCATTAGATTAAAATCATCAGAGAAGCGTGGAAGAGCTGATTCCATCTTGTCCGTACCATCTACCAAAGTGAAACAATCATCCCTAAAGCCACTCATCTCCATAATCAGGCTGCTATAAATTCTGTACCTTTGTTACACAATAGAATATACCAACTTTCAAAAGGCTACTACATATAAGAGACAACACGTACTGCATATTGTCACAGGCTTCTGCGGGTGAAATATGAAGTCTATCAATAAACAGAAAAAGTAAACGCTGTTATGTCCATTTGATTGTCACATACATTGGCGTATTAGATCTACTAATTCCTTGTCAGGAATGAGTCAGTGTAAGTAATCTCCACTTTACCATAAATGAAAGCAGTGGCTTCTAGTTCAGGGAGCTCTGGAGACCACATTACCTTGATAGGAAGGCATAAAATCAGTAAAAAGTCAAGTTTCCTGGAAAAGAAGGCTTTGTCACCTGGATAAACTTGTAGTTTTCCTTCTCAGAGACAGTTTCAAGATTCTTCAAGCTTGCACAGTAGTCGAGCTAAAGAGAAGTACCCAGATAATATCATTAAGAGGGCTTACTTGTGACAGTCAAGAAGCTAACTCAGATCCAACCTGAACACTAGAAAGTTTGAGAAGAAAGTAAAAACTTCTTTCAAAAGAAAAGCTGTTTTACAAGCAGACATGATAAAGCTTTAAAACCACAAAATTCCAAAATTTATTTTAACTGCAAAAACATCTTAAACAGAAGTTTAGAACTTCAAAAGCTTCCTCTTCTTTGCAAAAAAATTATTTGGGGGGGGCACAGGACTGTAAACATGAACAGCACTTAACTTTTTTTTTTTTTCATAGGAAAAATGGATAATAGATAGTCAAACAAAAATTTAATAAATAACAATAATTCATGCAAATTCCACAGAAGCGCATTAAAAGTCATTTAAAACAGTTTTGCATATCATGGAAAAAAACAAGCTACTTACCTTATCTAGATTTATAATCAGATAGTTTGGATAGTTTTTCACAAGAGAGACGACTACATGTGAAGCACTGTAGGATAGACGAAAAACATTTTATAATTACCTAGTTAGCTTCAAGATAACGGAGAGATGACAAATCACAAATAAGTTTAGTAACAACAAAAGACTTTGAGGGAAGAGGGGGCTGTACTCCAGACAGGAGAAAGATGAACTCACAGAGTTATTTTAAGACTTGTCAGCATTATTCTACTGATACTGCCTGTAACTGTATACTCTTAAGAAACTAAAAATCAGATTAAAAGTTCACGCTATAGAAACAGAAAGCAGCACTGCTCACAGCCACCCAGAAGTGTGACATGCTACATTCAATTGCCATTTTATAATACTTTATACTGCTAAGCTTATACTTTAGCTATCAGGAAGAACCAGTGACTTCTCCCAACTCGCAATATTGGCTCTCGACACCCAACCCTCGCCCACCGCCGCTAGGTGTGAGGGGAAACGGCAG